ACAAAATGCCATTAGGAAAATTCTGACTTAATTGTAGAGGAGTAAAATAAGGATTCCCTCTTCTCTCCCTTGGAAACATGGAATAAACAAAAAGACTGATATAAGTGTTTGTCCTTTTTTCTTTACCACAAAACAAAATCCTACCTCTAAAACTCAATATTTCAAAGAATATGCGAGAGAAGCCAAAAATTGGGAAGAATGACAGAACTGTTCAAGGCAGAACAAAGATAAAGAACTAGAAAGAACGTACTTGGTGTTATAGGATCTCGGAAACATCCAGCAAAAATACATTCTCTGAAGATAAAAGCCATGAGATACAAATCCTAAATTCCTTATTTCCAAAGCAGAATGGAGCTTAAATAGTTTATGATACTAACTTCCTAGAACTGGTTTGTTTTCAAAGAAAAGGGGAGGCAGAGCTGAGTAGAGAGTAACCCAGACAAGTCTTTCTACAGAATGCACTTTTCTCATAAAAGCCAAGAATGTAGATTACTTACAAACAAAAACAAACCAAAATAGGCTAGATAATACAATTCAAAAGAAAAGCCACTTAAATTCATATATAAAATTCTATTTGCCTGAAACATAGCGCAGGCCCCTCTGCTGCATAACTTTCAAGAAAAACTCTTACTCTTTGCCCTCAAAATGAGTCCTGGAAAAAGAGCCAACTTAGTATCTCTATAAACATAGTAGAATAAAAGTGGAAGAGAGGACAGGAATGTATATGACAAAAAAATAAGTTTTACTGGAATAAAATTGCTTTAGAACAAGTGATAATATTTTACCATGAGGTAAACTATTTATGATACAATTTTTTAAAAACAAAAATCACCAAAGTGAGATACAAATAAGTGTATCAGCTAAGTGAAAAGTGACAGGATGATGAAGCAGGTGAGAGCAAGCTGAAAGATGAAACAAGAACGAGAAGAAAGTATAAATATTCCAGAAAAAGTGTTTTTGACGGTTTCACGTGTTTGTATTGAAGCTGATGATATTGTACACTTACTGCATTGAACCTACTGCATTAAGTATTCCTTCAACAACAAGTTTAAAAAACCCCACAAACTTAATGCTATAAGGAACAAAATGAATGAATCTTTCAAATACCATGTGAACTATGTACATAAAGATATATACTTACAGTATATTGTTTATATAATACTTTAGAACAGATAAAATTAAAATCATAATTCAGAACAGTTGCTTTCTGGGTATGGGAGGAATTAATTGAGAAAAGACATGAGGGAAATTCCTGTACCTTGAGCATGTTGGTGATTATACAGACATATGTAACTGTTAAAACTCATTAAAATAATACTTTAAAGTCTGTGTGCTTTATTTTATTTTAATTAGGCCTAGTATTTCTAAAGCTTTTTGGGAAAAATTTATGGGACACATTAAAAAGATTCAATATATGTATAATTGAAGTCTAAAAAAAAAGTAAAATATATTAGTATAGAGCAAATACATTAAAGACTAAATCACAAATAATTTTAAGGAATAGAGAGACTTCAAATAATATAATTTGAACCAGAGAAAACTGATCTAATATATCATGCACTGGATAAAGATTCTAGACTTAAAAAAAAAAAAAGTAAAAATAAAACACCTACAAGGCACTTCAACTTCTCCCTTGCCTAGACTTGCTTCCCTTAGATTCTTATGGGGCATCACCCCACCTCCCATACCTCCTGCACACAAGTCTTCCTATCAAAGTCTCTTTCCAGGATTCCAACTTGGGATATACCAAGAGAAATATCAATTCTGAAAGGTAGAAATAGTACAGACAATTTTCTATTAATGCTATAAAATATATATATGTAAATAAGTTAACTTTGTACTATTTGTAAATAGTACATGTAATGGAACAAAATTAGAGTCAATTATAAAACCAAAGAGCAGTCAGATTTTTTAAAGTCTTGGGTTAAAGAGGAAATTGAACAAATTGTACAATATCCCTAGAGTAATCACACTTTAGGATTGGAAACTGTGCTAAAAAAAAAAAAAAGAAAAGAAAAGAAAAAAAGCTTTTCTACTTTGTTTAATTAATGAGGAGTGAAAAGCTCACATGAAAACAAAATCTAAAGGCAAAAATAGGAACTACTGAACTAAAATTTGTCGAATACATCAGTTGTTTTCTTCAAATGAAAAAAGCAACAAAGCTTACCTAATTTAAAAAAAAAAAGGTAATAGCTCACCTAAATAGGCTTTAGGTTACCTAAGGAAAACAAAAACACTACTATACCAAAAGAAGAAAAAAAGAAAGAAAGAAAAAGAAACGTACGTGAAAAGAGCCACAGATACAAGGAAAATTATATACTACTTAGTTAACTGTGCAAATACATTTGAAAGTCTGGATAAAATGGATAATTTTCTAGGAATTTATAATGTATCAAAATGAATTCCTGAACAAATAGAAAATCAAAACAGGATTGAGAGGGAAAGGAGACCAAAGAAGAATCAAGGTGCGTTATATACATGTACAAACTCCACAATATCACTGTGTATTGCAACATATAGTAATAAAAAGTGAAGAAACAGCTACAATTTTTAAAATGTTACTTTCTTTTGCCATAAATACTAGGCCAAACACAAGTAAATGCTACTATAGCAATAATGACAAAAATAAATTCAATTTTACTAAAATTAATATATAATATGGGAAAAGAAATCTAATTTTGTGATGGAAAATAATATTAAGCTATATGAATGCTAGGATGGATTAAGCCAATTTAGTATCCATTTCTCTTAGAAATAGACTTAAATATACTCTAAAATGTGGCGATAGGAACTGAAAACTAGTGCGGTGTTTCCTAGAAAATAAGAGTCCCACTAAAATGAAGAACAAATCAAGTATTTCATCACTATTTAAAATTTATCAGGGAAACTTAACCAGTGAAAGAGGAAGACTGAAAGTAAGTACAAGTATAAAAATGGGGAAATTAAAGATAAATTATTAGTCTTTGTAGCTACAATTGAATTTCCAAAAACTAAAGAGGTGACAATTGTAAAACACCTGTAGAAAAGGAAATTCAGTGAGCTAAATATGTGGTAAAAGTGTTTGTATATGAAAGCTATAAGTAGTGGCCAAATGAAATAAAATGCCTGGCAGTAAACTAAACTTATAAAAGAGAGCACTTTAATGAGGGATGTGTTGACCTTCCTCAACGTTGTGAGGATCAATGAATGTTGTTACTGTGCCTCGAAAAAAAAAAATGATCCTTGGAAACAAAATACCTAAAAAATGGAAAGAAATACTCTATCCTTTGATTAGGAAAGTTTGGATTTGAAATATTAAAATAATCCAAACAATCTAAAACAGGATTCAAATAAAATTAGCTGTAAGAATTGGATGCCTGATCAATTAAGACAAGCTGAATGTCATAGGAAAAATTAGAAAAAAGAGTAAAAAGAACCCTAAAAGGTGTTTAAAATTATTACTCAGCTTTTCTAGTTAAAACGAGGTTTTACTAATAGAAAGAGAGTAGAACAGAATGAGAAGCCCAGGAACTCTAATACAATCATTGGAAGAAATAGGAGCATATACTTAATACTGAGAAAACCTGAAAATAGCAGGAAAAATCATGGGTCATGCTTGCCTCATATATAAAATGTAGATGATTCACAGATTCATTTATAGTAAAAGAAATGAAACTTTAAAATACAATGAAAACTAGAAAAAATGCAGTAAGATTATAGATTGATATTTTGCTAATGGTATAGAGAAACAAGTAATTTCATAGATTCTTTTTGGAGGTAAAAGTTAATAGTATCTTGGGGGGCGTAGGAGAAAATTTAAAATTACAGTTTTATACACTCTTGTATAGCAGTTTCATTTCCACCAATGTATCCTAGAGGTGTAAAGTTGACACATGAGCACCATTTTTATTGCAATATTACCTGAGCTAGCAAAAGACTGAAAACAGTCCAAATAATTAACTAGTTATCAACTCATAAACCATGCACTGAGACACAGAACTGTGTCCATTCCCACAGGAATGTAAACATTATGTACTACACACATGTGTTAATATACTAAAATTAAAACAAAAGAGCTATGAGTAAATTTAACATATGTCAAATATCCAGATAATGCCTTACATACTTAGAGGCTCAATGAGTTATTATGACATCCCACAGTAGCTGTAAGGGTTATCCTTGTCGTCAGCACCAGAAGCATCATACTATCAGTTGATGAAAGAACCTGGATCCCTACTTTGTTAGACCAAGGAGTCTCTGTTTTGTTCATATCTTTTCTCTTTTGTTAATGTTGTAATAATTTTGAGGAATTTTGGCTCAGCATGTGGTTAATAGAGTATTTTCACTGGCAAAATATATTTGAGGAAGCAAAAAATAAAACATAAAAATGTCTTTTTCTAATGTACATGTATAAGTCTTATGGGTAGGCATTCTTCTTCAAAGGGGGAATTTAAAGACTTTGGGGAGGCAAGTCTAGCTCTTTCACTATGTATTTCCGATCCATTATTATCAGCTTGCCTGCCCGTAATTTGATTGCAAGTTTACCTAACTTGTCTTTCTTAAGTTCTTCCAAAGCATTTCTAATTCAGTTTTGTTTAGAGATAAGCTTTTCTGCAGTCATCTTTCCTCAGTTTAAGTAATAGTTAAATAAAGTATGTGAAAACCTATTACACCTAATCTATAAATATTTAGGGATACACAGAACTAATTTTTGGAGTGAAGTCAGCTAGTGGAAGTCGCTACACTTTGTCATGATTAAAAGTAGATTATAGCATAGAGACAACATGCCAGTTAGTATATCTGAAAGACAGCTATGGTTGAACAAGAAAATTAAGAGATCATTTAAAAACAGTTTTTCTTGTAAACCAACAAGAAAAGAGCAGTCCATTGTATTCTAAGTGAAATAAAATCAGAACAACCCAAATAAAAATGATTTGCTACTGTTGTCATGTGACTATGACAGCACTGTTTTGTCTCCATTATGACTTCTACATGAATCTGCGTTCTTCCTGATGTTTCAGGCTTTGGTCACAGAGTTACAAAACGATGTCCTTGTGATGAGGCAAAAAATCAGAGCGCTTAAAAAGTTGCAGAAAAACAGAGAAGCTTGTAAAACCTCAACCCATAAAGCCCAGACCCTGGCAGCTTCTATTCTGAACATTTCACGATCAGATCTAGAGGAAATACTGGACACAGAAGACGAGGTGGTAAGACCATTTAAATCATTAATAAGAGGCTTAGTATACATTATGTACATATTTTGCTTCAGAATTCTTAGAATTTTATCAAGATTTTATTCATGAAAATAAGATTAATGTGTATACCTCAAATATTAACCAACTTTAAAAACCTGTAGAGATATTTAACTGTGTATTATAGAAAAACCCATAGCATATGGGTTTTTGGACCATTTTGGACTGCTTGGCATTCTGGCCAGTTATCCTTTTCCTGTTTTCTTCATTTTCTTTAGTTTAATTAATTATATAATCTTCTAAAAGTATTTTAAATTTTGTCCATTTGAATGCATTTAGTTAATCTGAATCTCATGTGTGAGATTTTATATGTTTCATTTTTGTTTTGCTAGTTTGTTTTGGTGGTATTGGGGATAAAACCCAGATCCTTGCCCATAGGGGGCTGGCAGTGTATCTTGGAGCTGTATCCTCAACCTGTTTTTTGTTTATTTTTGTTTTTAGCCGCAAATCTATTGGCTTCACTGTCTGAATCTAAAATTGTTGTTCAACATATATTTTGAAAATATATTGTTGAAAATGTATTTACTGTTTTAAATTGGGTAAAATGCTCCTATCTGTGTGTTATATGCAGGTCAGTCTTTAATAGCATCACAGGATTTTCTCAGGAACACTGCCTTTTGATTTAGTTACCACTCCTAAAATAGCAGAACTTCATGTGTGCAGTATTCTGTGAAACCTATGGTGGATGCCAGAGTGTGTTCTGCCTCTGAATTCTAACATGCCTGTTATATTTTGTTTTGTTAAGACAGTATCTTACTATGTGGCCCACACTGTTTTTGAATTCACTATGTAGCTCAGTTTGTTCTTGAACTTCTAATGATCCTCCTGCCTCAGCCTCCCAAGTGCTGGGATTATAGGTATGTGCCACTATGCCGGGGTTTAAAATTTTATAGTGTTTGGAACTATTGAAGAGCTCATGGCACCAAGAATATCCAAATAAATATGTGCTCAATGAATAAATAAAATGGAAAATGTAAATACTTATTTATATGAGACCGACTGCCAGGCTCCCAGCAGCTTCTTAAAGATCTAATGAAGTAGATCAAATCTATAATGTACAAAGGCTTTTAAATTACCAAAAATTCTTTGCAAAGAGGTCAAAGATATTCTGCTGAGATTATGTTCATCCTGTGGTTGAATGGGATGGTGAACTATCAGTTTTCTATTTTCAGCATTATGCCACAATTCGACTTTCTGCTGTATTCTGAACTGTGAAGTACAAGAGCATTATCAAGAGTACTATCAAATATAAGACACATAGGAGGTAATAGTACCTCTAGGGAGGATATTAGCTATGTTTCATTCAGGTAGTAATTAAAATTTATTAATTAATAGCAAAAACCTACCAAAAAGTTAAGATTGAAACCACTTACTTAGTTGCCCAGAGTTTTAACAATAAGCAGATATAACAAAATCACCTAGGCAGGTGTATGTTGTACCTACATGCCAATATACACATGTACTTAGAACAGAAATGTGTGTGCGCATACTGGAACACAGAGCCATTGCATTTGTTAGCTTTCTAAAGTGATACCCTTTCTAAGCTGACAAGTTAAAAAAAAAAAAAAAGGCTTCCCTTTTTAATGGGCAAGTTAATTTTTTTCCTTCAAATATATATGTCATTACAATCCTAAAAAATAGATGATGCATTTTTGTGAGAAAAAATGGCACCTCATTGCAGATGCAGTCTGAAGTCAAAGTACACAGCATTGTAATATTGCATTCCACATTACCCTTAAATGAAGGTCTTCCTGAAGGAGAAGGACTCAAGTACAAATAAAGCTGTTCTGAGGAGGATCATTGCAGCTTAACATATTTGCTAGATTTAGTTACTGGCCATAGCTTTTTAAAACTGATTCCTACATTTTGTAGCAATATAAGGAGTTGAATGAATGCCTTGCCCAAGCTAAGCCCAGACCACCTCAGTTATGTTCTTTAAAACTGCATCAAACTATAATAAATTTGTGTCAAATCCTGATAGCCTATGTAAGATTCCTGCATCTCAGTCTGTATCTTGAGCTCTACTATGAAGGCAGAAATAAAATAAAATCCTAAATTATTGTGAAATACAGGAATATGATTTTATCTTCCGCATGATAGCAAACACTTATAAATTAAATATTTAGGAGCAGGGATTTAAATATTTCTACATTGAGAGTGTGAGCAGATCTTTGTTCAAAGTTATTCTACTGATGTCCCACTAGATTTATTCAGTAATCAATAGTACGACCACATTATAGAATTGTATCAACACCAGTATTTTCATCTTTTAGGAAATGAAAAAGACAAAGATAGATGCTGAAAATGACAAAGAATGGCTGTTGTACATCCAGAAACTTCTTGAAGGACAGGTATTCTTTCTTTCTTTTGCTTCATACAATAAAACTTCCAAATAAAAACATAAGCCTTACATTTTTACTAGATGTCTAACTTTTTCTAACCACCTACCCATACTTACTTTTTTTTAGGTAAAGAATTATCCTGAAAGGTAGGCAGGAAAGTTAACCCTCTATTTGTACTTTTGGACTTAACAAATGAAACAAATGCCTTGGGAAAGAGCCAACATGGGTCTTAGCAAATGCATTAATTAAATTATTGAGTCAGCCTCTATGCTTGCTAGACTGAAAAGGATCCATTCTCTCAGACCTCATAGGAAACAAGGTTCTTTATTATGTGTCTTTAAAGTTAGTAGTTGATATGGACACCTGAGGAGTTCATGGGTTTCAGTGACCTTTTACTATGGACCTGTTTCCAGTCAATTCATGTTTTCCTCACAGCCAGACAGCTGTTTATTACTGTGTCTTCCCGCACTCTCTACAATATTTTCTACTGAGACCTCGAGCAGCTTGTTAGTGGGAAGTAAATATTGATTTGGCATCCTGTCAATGCAGAAAGAATGAAAAAATTTCCACCAGAGGCCCCTCAAACATTTTCCTATCGACGTTTTCTGGGCTGAGTGGAAAGCTGCATAGAGAATGACAAGGCCAAGACGAGCTGAAATCCCTGAGGGGTCTATTGAGACTGCTGCTGTGACCTGTGTGATACTTTTTCTTCCCTTTCAAGTATTTTTTTTAATACACAGATAGTCTGCTGGGATGCGCCCCTCTTGTAAGTGATCAAGGGCAGTTTATTGGCAGGTGAGAGCCCTGCTTTTCTAGTCATAGCCAGCTTTTGTTTTGTCATCATTGATAGCAAGTAATGTATTCTCAAACTTTTTCATTAGTTTTTTGCTTATTCTAATTGTTTGTTTCAAAATTGATATTGAATAAATAAAAATGAAAACGTCAAAATTAAAAAAAATTCGTCCTATGATTTTTGAAACATAAGTGCTTCTCTGTAAAGTTTAAAAACAGATGCTGACATTAAGTCTAATGCTTTATACTTATATTAATAAATAACAGTTTCTGTGCTTTTGGTAAATTGAAAAGCAAATAAACAATATATAAGTTAACAGTATTCTTAATGTCAGTTTTATATATTTTTGAAACATCTGGAGTCACTTCAATAATAATAAAAGAATTAGCAATTTGTTGCTTAAGGTTGTTTAAGTGCAGATGCACAGGTGTTAGACAAAGCTTTCTGCAGTAACTTGCTTCTGAGATGGAGACTATTCTTAATCATGTTGTGTACCCAAAATTCATCTCAGCACGTGGCACGTAGAGGAGTTCAGTACTAATTTTTGTGAGTTTTTGTTCTCCAGTTTGAAGATGATAAAATAAACCTTTTAGTGATCATAATCACTTGTAAATATGATCTTGTATGTCTTTTAATTAGAAAGTGTATCTTTATGACTATAAAGAATAATATAAAATATGTATAAATCTTTACCAAATTTTACTAGTTATACTAATACAAGACCTGCTTTTTTGGCTAGCATGCATGGAAGTACATACACACATCCTACATTACCTAGATATGTGCTAACCCTGTCCAGTTAGTATAAAAAAATCCTATTGAAAATGGCATCAGACTACTTAATACTACAGCTTGATATAGTGCCTTTTTGTGCCACTGAGCCTGGACTCTGGAATATAATTGCCTGGTAGTATTGATTTAATTGCCCAGGTTTATTTGTGGACTCCTAATTATTGACTGGAGGTAAATTTAATGGAGCAGCCTTTATGAACACAGGGAAACCGCTGCTGTTGCTGTTATACATAATGAACTGCATCATGTGCCTTTAGATCATTTTTCAAGCTAATTTTATTCCACTGTGACAGTATGATAACATTTAAAAAGTCAAAGACTTTTTATTTTTATTACTGACATAGGTGGTTTTGCTGATGTCTTTGGATTTGTGAGGTAAAAAATAGAGACTTCATTGGTTGCACTTGAATGTCACTGTATAATTATGCCCGAGAGAAAAATCTGTAAAATGGAAAACATTTCTTGTTTTTGTTAGCCTTTTTGACTGTTTCAATCTCAGCAGTTATATTTTTCCTGGATTTTAGAAAACATTTTCTTTGCCCATCATTCTTTCAACATCCATGTTTTACTCACAGGATTATGCAGGCAAAGTATAAATATGTTTGCTGATGAATTTAGTTTAGTTTATAGCTTGCATATTCTTATAAATGAGTTTATATGAACTGTAAGTTGTAGAATAACTGATCACACTCCTTTAAAGTACTAATTAGTTCAATATTCATGTTTGAATATTAAAATATTTCATAGATAAAATTGTAAGAAAATTTTCCTTTCATATTCTCCCTCTCCACTGGCTGCTGTTAGATACAATCCTAAAAGTATACGAGTGAAACTGACCCTGTGATTTTATCTTTTGTTTATTGTTAGTTTTCTATTAAATTTTTCATTTGCATTCATTTGATGGTATTTTATGTTGGAAAGAATATTTACTTTCAAAATATGAAATATGGTTTGAAAACAGAAACAAAACATCAGTCTTGCCATGTGATGGTGTGAGACTACACAATACTTACTGCTGCTGTTACTGGACATACATGAGAACTAAAAGACCTGCAATGTTAACTCATATATTTAATATAGAATACAAATACATGTTTTCATTATTTCAAATAGTCCTAATGCAATTGGTAATTTTTATGTATTTGTGGCTTTTTTTTAATGACTTACTCTTTTCTCCAGAGAATTTCTAATGCTAAGAACCACATTGGAAAATTAAATCTTAAGATCTACTTTAATTTTTCTATGGAACAGTTAGCTTTATTTTCTTTCAATATTTTTACTAAATTCCTCTTTCACCTTAACATTTTAAAATTTATAACATACAAAAAACCAAATTTGTGATTATAGTGAGAATGAATTTTTTTGGTGGGGGAGAAGCCGAAGTAATATATTTGTAGTTTAAAAATTTGGGGAAAAAAACAGAGCAAAGAAAAGTAAGCTGGCACCAGACTACAAACTTTTGAGCAGGAAAGGGATATAATCAGTACTGTACTTTAGAAAGATACAGGATAGCAGCACATAGGATGGTTTGGGGAGAGGAAAAAAAAAAAAAAACTCGAGCAAGAAAATAATCTGAGATCCAGTGAGAGCCTGGATGTGCCTTGGTCATAGCAACAGAAAGACCAGAGCTAAATGTGAACCATATCTGAGTGAGTGGAAACAGTGGTAATGAGATTGGATGACGGTGTCAGAAAGAAACTAAGGATGCTGTTAGGTTTAACAGTGCCCATGATGAGAAAGATGAAAATCCCTCTAAGAATTTTAGAGCTCAAAAGAGATAAAAGCAGGTGTGGTAGGGAAGAGATGTTAAATAATGATTGACACATTTAGTAGCTTAATAATATTTAAGGATTCAGTTCTCCCTCAATACATTCAAGCCTTCTTGCTGGCTCTTCTTAGTGAAATATAACCATTTAAGAATGCATTTCAAGGGGCTGGGGATTTAGCTCAGCGGCATAAGCGCCTGCCTTGCAAGCAGGCAGTCGTGAGTTCGATCCCTGGTACTGATAAAAATGAAAAAGACCAAAAAAAAAAAAAAAAAAAAAAAAAAAGAATGCATTTCAGAGATAAATAATGGTGGCACATACCACAGTCTCAACTCTACTGAAGGCTGGGAGCGGAGGATTCCTTAAGTCCAGGAACTCAAGGCCAGCCTGGGCACCAGAGCAAGACCATATCTTTAAAAATAAAGCACAATAAAAAGACAATTTAAACTCTTACCCTTCAATAATGAAAGATAAAAATTCAGTTTAAAAATGCACAAAGGACTTGAGTAGACATTTCTCCAAGAACATATGCAAATAGCCAATAAAAAATGTCATTATTAGCCATTAGGAAAATGTGAATCAAAAAGCAAAATAATACTTCACACTTACTATGGTTGCGTCAATCAAACAGTAACAAGTGTTGACAAAGATGTAATTCTGGAACCATCATACATTGCTGGTGGGAATGTAAATTGGTGTAGTCCCTGGGAAAACAATGTAGCACTTCTTAATGAAGTCAGAATTACTACAAGACCGAGCAATTTTACTTCTAAGTTTACACCAACAAGAAATGAAAAGATATGTCCATTACAAAGGACCATTATTTATTATAGTTCCAAAGTAGAAACAACCTAAAGGTTTATTAACTGATAAATGGACAATCAAAATATTGTATTACATACAACAAAATATTATTCAACTACAAAATGGAATGAAATATTGATATATACCACAATATGGAAAAACCTTGTAAACTTTAGTTGAAGGAAGCTAGGTAGTATGATTCCATTCATGTGAAATATCTAGAATAGGGAAATTGTTAAGATAGAAGGTACCTTAGTGGTTGCTAGGGAATGGGTGTAGGTGAAGAATGGCTTCTACTGAGTGAGAGGATTTTTGAGGGGAAAAGAATGGTGAAATTTCCTGGAATTAGACAGCAATGATTATTTTGACTGTATTGAAACCAGTTAGTTATGCACTTTAAAATGGCAAATTTTGTTTAGTGTTTTATCTCTATTTAAACAATCCCTTGCTGTGCTCAATAGTGCATGCCCTATAATCACAGCTACTCAGGAGGCTCAAGCAGGAAGGATCGAAAGTTGGAGGCCATCCTGGGCAACTTACTGAGGTCTTGTCACAGTGTAAAGTAAAAACAGCTGATGGAGCTCAGTAGTACCTGCCTAACATACACAAGGCCCTGGGTTCCATCTCCAGTATAGCTAATAATAATTCCCTAATATATGGTGTATTATAAAAGACTATATTTTAAACTAAACATAAATACATGAACATATAGATAGATAAATATAGATAGTTTGTATCCACATGTCCCCCTCAATGCCTCATGAAATCATGGGGAGCAAACTTTTCACAGGTGACTGAATCTAGAGTTTATGATTGATTCATAGTGCAATGCTGGAATTAAGGATATGAGAGCTATACCCGGCCCAGGGCAGGTGGTCTGCATACAGTATAAGGGGCAGCAAGAGGCTTGTCCCTCTCTGGTTGCTTCTGCTGTCTTCCACTGCCATGAGCCATGTGCCACCCTGCCCTGGAGCCAGCTAATTATAGACTGAAACCTCTACAACATGTGAGGTAAATAAGCTTTTTTCCCTTTAACTTTGGGTGGTGGATATTTTGGCTTAGCAACAAGAGAAATGTAACTAATATATATATATATATATATATATATATATATATATAATGTCGTAGTTAAAACATAAACTAAACTAAACATAGTTAAAACATAAACTAAAATTTACCAAATAGTTAACATAAGTAAAATCACGGATATATACATATATGTATAAGATGTGATTGAAACATTTAGTAAATATTTACATTTTAAAAACTTCATTACAATAAAAATCTGTTGTTGTAACCTCTTCAAAATGTATCCCTTGCTCCAAACACACTTATCCCGTCCTCCTTGCCACCGTATGAGGCAGCTCTGGAAGTCTTCTTTTGTGAATATTTAGTTGTGTTCTCATGGCTGTTCCATGTCCTGAATCAACTTAGAATGTTTACTTTTCTGGTTATTTTGACTGTGGGGAAGAACAGTAAGGCTCACAGTGCCAGCTCCTGGGAATAAGGTGGACGAGGATGCAGCATAAAATGTTTCTACAATCGGACCTCTCTTTTGGAGGACATGGAGCAGCTTTCACTATATAGCACCTCAGAAGAGACACTGAAGTGTCTCCAGAACTGCTTCGGAAAGCGGCAAGGGTGATGGGAATAGTGATGGGGAACATTTGAGGGGTATTGGTGACCATATGTCTTTAACTGTAATACAATTTTCCTTTAAACATTCCTATATATTTTGATGTATGTATAATGTATACATGTATAAAACAAATAATTTACATTTATAACCCATAGTACATATGGTTCTTTACTAGGACTTATTAAAAAATCTTTAGCTGTGAATGGTTAGAAAAATGTCTTGGTTTTGTTTTCTTGTTGCCTTTTGTTTGCTAGTTCTTCTCTGGATTTCATCTAGTCCATATTAGTTCTCTTCACATCAATCATTTTTGTATTAAAACCAAACTAAAAAAATGTATCTTTTTCCCTTCATTTGTTGAGAATTTAAAGTAGAATTTTTTTGGTACCAGGAATTGAACAGTAGTTTTTCTTTAGCTTTCAATATTTCTGTTCCTGTTCGTTGCTTCAGATTTTGCAAATGCCGAAATTTCAAATGGTTCACTTTCCCTAGTGTCCTCTCTGTAAAATATGCTTACCTTCCGTAGAGTGCATTGTAGTATAGCAGTGGGAAGGGTTTTATAAATCTCCCTGGCTTTTGTAAATAGAGCATACTGCTGGCCTGAAGGTTATCTGAAAGTTTCTTCCTCGCAATACTGAAGACATTTATTGTGTGACTGCTTGTTTTGTTGTGCTTATGTCTAATGTGCTGTCACACTTGTGTACTAAGACATCCTCTCTCATATGTGCACATATCAGCTCACACACACAGACTTAATCCTCATGTCTGGCTGAAGTAGCAAGAATTAAAGTTACCCAGTTAGATTTGCTGGAATATATATTTTTTATTTATCAATGTAAATCCTACTTTCATATGTTAGAAAAGAGGCATTTGTGATTACAGTTAAAATGATCATTTAAGATAAAAAATAACATTCTAATCTACATTTTCAGTTTTTTGTTAATTCTTGTTTTCTATATCATTTTAATGGCTCTCTTTGTGGATATTTAACTCACTATATATCTTTGTGATATAAATAAACAAGAGTTCTAACTGTTCCAAAATTAAGTCTTAATCACTTGTAAAATGATTTTTTTCTCAAAAGTTTTTTATTAACAGCTAGTTCAATTGATATACATATTTGAGATTAGCAATATGATTTATTCAACAAATATGTGTTGAGCAGCTATTTTATAGAAAGTTCTGGTCAGATTGGGAGACAAATTCAGGCCCTCAAAGATCTCAAAGCTTGCAGTAACATAAATCACAAGTGCAGATGTGGAGAAATTGGAACCCTTGTATACCGCAATTAGGGATGTAAAATAGTATAAAGCTGCAATATGCAATCTGAAAGCAATTTCTCAAAAATTAAGCATAGAGTTAATATATTATCCAGACATTGGGAGACATTTCTGAGTATATCTCCAAAGAAATAAAGACAGGGACTGAATGAGATATGTGTACATCAATATTCGAAACATTATTCACAATAGCTAAAACCTCCAGACACCCATGAACAAATCCTTTTTATATATAAAATATACATAGTATTGGTACAATTTTTGTCACTGAAAAATTACCTTAGAAAAACAACTTGAAGCAAAGTTTATTTTGGCTTACAGTTCTAGAGATTTCAATCCAAGACCAGCAGGTTTTCTTGTTTTTAGGCCTGTGGTGAGGTAAAGACCTTGTGTTGAAAGAGTATGGCAGGGAAAAGGGTTCACCTTACAGCAGTCAGAAAATAAGCCAGAGTCAAAAGAAAGAGATTGAAGCCTAGATATAGTCCCCAAGGTCATACTCCCATACCAACTCCTGTTAATGAGGCCCTAACTCTGTCACTTTGCAATAATGCCATCAGATTATAAATCCATGAGTTGATTAACCCACTGATAAAGCTAGAACCCTCGCTATTCAATCATCTTCCAAAGCCTCACTTCTGAATACAGGAGCCTTTGAGGGGAATATTCTGATTGTTCCTTAACAAGGAACGAAGCACTATGTTGATACAGGCTACAGCATGAATGAAACTTGAAGATTTTGCATAATAAAGACATTGTACTAAGTGAAATGAGCCTGACACAAATGAAAAAGTACTGTATGATTTGCTTATGGGTTGTATATAGAGACAGAAAGTAGATGGTTGCCACATGCTGATGGAGGATGGAAATGAGAGGCTGTTGTTCAATACAAATGCAGAGTTCTAGTTTGGGAAGTTCAAAAAGTCCTGGAGATAGGATGTGGGTGATGGTTGCACAACATCATGAATGTACTTAATACCAATAAATAATAAACTTAAAAATGTTAATGTGATAAAATTTATGCTGTTTATAATGCTTAAAAATTTTAGTGTAAGGTAGAATTCCTAGGCAATATATAGGAGCTACAGGTATTATTCCTTTCCAGTATGATTTTATTGATTTAGTTTACAGAGAGTAATCTTATCTTGTTGTTTCCAAAACATTGGGAGGTACTTATTAGTGTCAGGGCCAAATTTGAATGGTCAAATCCAGTACAGTCGAATTTTGCCTTCTGGTAGATAAATTTCTTGAGGACACAGTCAATATTGTTTTATTTCCTACGATGTACTGAGGGAAAACAAAAAGTCCAGCAAATTGTGCCCTGACATTGTGGATTACCCAGAGGATCAGGATAGAACAAACCACCCCACCTTCTACTCTGAACCCCAGCTTGTGTCCACCCCATTCTATTTTCTCATAACAGTCAACTAATAAGAGCATTTTTCAAGTGGATTTATAATCAGGCTTTGTTATAGCCAACAGACAACAGATTAAGATTTATGAAGGGAAACACTACAAGTAATAGAATCAAAACATCATACTTAGAATCTTTGCATCATAAAATATCTAAACAGCCACTCCTCCTGAGGATGAACTTTGCCCTGTGGAGTAATAAAAACTTCAAGACTGTTAAATGAGTCCATTTTCAACCTCACATGCCTTTACTCTTACTCAGTTTCTCCTTATATTGTCTCCTTGCGCTATGCTTGCAGTGGTTTATGGTCACAAGATGAGTTTTTGACCTTTCTCATACTATCATGTGAAATCTCAAAGAAAGTAACCACAGCCTCTTTAACTCATGTCTTGGTTACTTTTCTCATTGTCGAGACAAAACACCCGACACCCGAAAATGGGGAGAGGCTTATGTGGCTCACTGTCAGTAGAGGTTTCAGTCCATAATTGGCTGGCTCAAAAGCAGGGTGGCATATGACAGGGTCAACAGTTCATGGCAGTGGAAAACAGCAAAAGCAACAAGGCTGACACAAGCCTCTGCCTGCCTCTTTTATGTTGTATTCAGTGTTCAGGTTTAGGACACTGCCAATCAGTCAGTGGACTGGCCCAACAATCTCCCACCCTTAATCCCAGCCTTGCAGCAGGAATCAGTCACACTAGGGAAGAGGACTAGACATAACAAACTTACCATTAATATTTTAAGAAAATGCAGATATTTTTCCCTGGTTAAAAGGAAACTCCAATAAGTACTTAGTGAACTTTTAATTCTTGTCTCATGTAAGACAACATGGCTAGAAACATGGATAAAAGGTTATTACTAGAGGAATGGGAGGTGATTGGAGCAACTTTTCAGACTTTCTTAAAGCTCATAACTGCATTGACTGAGGCTATGTTCTACCAGCAAGCCAGTGAAGCAGAAGGAACAATAAAACCACTAGAAAAGTTGTTATCAATTATGAAATTTTTACATGTACTCACATTTGATAAACTCAGCAGTTTTTGAAACATGTGTATTACACTTTGATATACCAAACTTTAAAAACTTAATCAATGAGTATACTTTTGCCATTTTTTTCTCTGAAGTTTTATCCTGCAACTCTTGAGATGTTCAGCTCTCACACAGACCAGTGTATTGATAGTTCTCTCTCATTCTTTTATGAGTGATGAACATACAGTACCACTTCTGTGAGCCTGAGTGCCCTAGAGATGACTGTAACCCGCTATTGATCAGCTGATTGAAGATAAATGGCTTAGCTGCTTGTATTGCAGATTACATCATTAACATGGTCAGTAAACCATGAATTGTTCAATAAGGCGTTTATCTTTTTTCATTTTACTTCTGCTCTTTTATCATTTTTATTAGAAAAGACAAAATTATGCACCCTAACCAGCAAGATCAGTTGAAAAGAAATCTGTTAGGGTGGCCTTATGGGTTCAGTTACATAGAGCTAAATTCTAATGTGATTATAATTTAGTGGATATTTTTGAACAGAAAAAAATACAGAGTTTTGATAATATTTTTTGTGTGTGTTTCTCTTACAGCGTCCTTTTGCCTCGTTTTTACTAGAAGCAGTACTGGAGAAAATGAATGAAAACAAGAAACTACTTGAGGGATATTTCACAATTATGAAAGATACTAGATGATATTACAGTGTAGAAATAGAGAGCTTTTTTCAGATGTGAAAACTTTTTATGTGTTTTATATGAAAACATATATTGCAATCTTGACACAGTACTTGCTTCCACTATCAATAGACAGGTTCAATACCAAAATAAGAAGTCTCTGAAACTAATTAATTGCTGAACAAGTGAAAGTAATTAAGTACATAGCCACTTAAAAGGAAATAGTGTAGCATTTGATTGTTGAATACAGATATTACCACAAATCAATGCAAACTTAAAAATGATTTTTTTCAATGCTTTGGAAGAAACTAGAACAAGTTTGGCATGCATGAATCAATCAGTATAAAAAGAAAGAAGTGTAAACTAAGGACTTAATGTTTTAAATTTTATTTTAAAAACTAGAATTTTTACATAAAACTACATGGTTTTAAAAGGGATTTACTAAATATACTTTATTGCAAGCAAGTATAGAATAAAACACCATAACTTATGAATGATCACTTAATGAAACAAACTGTAGTCTAATTATATCTATTCTTATTGATATACTGGGTGATACAGAAAAGATTTCTTATTGAATGATTTGCCAAATATAAAAACATCCCCCTATTTACAATGTTTTTTGTGGTCATATAAATTAACAAGGCGCTACAATACAAGCTCAGCACAATTAAGCTTTATAATTCATACTGCAGTCAGATAAATAAAGTTACTTTTTAAACAATGATGTTGTCGTATTTTAATTCCCAATATTCCCCAATCATTTCACCTCTATACTGTATTCCTGCCACACACTGATTCGCGTTTGGGCCTGCCTCCCTCATTTGTTCTTGGTAATCTCTCTAAAATACTCTGTATTCAGTTTTCCTCATGGACGCCTCATCACTCAGGCTCACCTTTAACCATTCTTTCACAGACGGATTCTCTGACCATCTTACTATATGCTTTCCCAAAATATAAAATTATCTGATTTGTCTGGTCAAATTTTATCTATATCCTCTCTTTAGAATGTAGTTCCATGAGATTAAGACGGGTTGAAAAATCATAGCCCACAGTCAAATCTGGCCTATAATCTCTTTTTGATTTACCTGCAAGCTAAGGATGCTTTTTACTTTATTAAGTGGTTAAAAATCAAAAAGAGAATAATATTCTGTGGCATGTGGGAAATATGTGAAATTCAAATTTTAATGCACATCAATAAAGTTTTATTGAAACAGTAATGTGCATTCATTTACATAGTGTATTGTTTATGGCTGCTTTCACATCACAGAAGTGTGGCTGCGTAATTGCAGCCAGAGACCATATGTGGTGTTCTCATCATTTTTCACTGTTGCCTGGCACGCCATAAATCACAATGACACACTTATAATTTGATAACATTTCAAGTGCTATAAATACTGCCTTACTCAGTTTTTTTAAAATATCTACATATGCACGTCAAAGCAAAAGAAAAAGAAAATAACCAATGATTCATATTTTTAAAACACTGAAGTATAGTTTGCTTTTATTTTGTTACTAGATGACAAGATATTCTACCTATGATCAGAAATACAATCTGCATTGACATTAACAGACTAACATCTTTCACAATATTATCAATTCACATTGAAGCAACAGTAAGAAAAATAACAAAATATGAAATGTGTCACAGCAGAATTTTGATAGATAAAAAGAGATTGTCCAATATTATCTTGATACCCAACCACAAAAAGATAGTGCAACAAAAGAAATGTGATAGGTTGAAAATGGCCCCTTAAAATGTTCATATCTCTAGACCCTGTGAATTTTTCACCAAGGAATTTTGCAAATGTTAAGGGTCTTGAGTTGAAAGATTATCTTGGATTGTCCATTTGGAGCTAATGTACTCACTAGGATTCCAATACAAGGAAGACCAGATGAGTTAGAGTTAGATCCATAAAATCTGAAGATGCTATGTTACCAGCTTTAAATATGGAAATAAGTCAAAGGATGCAAGTGGTATGATAAAAAATGTTTAAATTTTAAAGTTTTATTACAATGACACATTGACCTTAATCTCCCTCCAAATGTTCTCATTTTGAACACTATTATCCCATCATTCTTCCCACTTTCTGAAGCAGCCCTGGAAGTCGTTTTTCATGAACATCTTTTTGTGGCTGCCTTGATAAATTGATTCAAGTCACTTATAGCAGAATCTGTCAAACAAAAGTATGCTGTGTCCTCATCCACCTTCCTGACCAGATCTGGCACCATGCAAATTCTGGCTCTTTCCTAAAATCAAAATGAACATGAAAGGTAAATATTTTTCATCAATTTAAGACATCAAGGTGGCTCCTGAAGATGGGAAAAATGGATAAAACATTCTCCTGTAAAACATCTAGAAAAACCACCTCTGTCCACACCCTGACCTTAGCCTTGGAACAGTGATTTTGAATGTTCAGAAGTATAGAAGACTATTTTTTGTTTAAGTCGTAAAGTTTGGTAATTTGTGACTCCACCAATAGAAAAATTAATAGAACTTGCTGATGATCTCATTTAGGCACTATAAATATATATATATATATATATATATATATATATATATATATATGGGACATTGATCAGAAAATATGGAAAACCAATGCAATATTTAAAAATCCATCTTGTAAGTTGCCATATGAATGGGCTAATGAAGAAAAACATCATATAATCATATAATAATGTATGAAAACCATTTCACAAAATTCACACCCATTCACTAAAAAATTTAAAAGCTAAAAACCAGGAATAAAGAGGAAGTTCCTTAATTTGATAAAAAAAATCTTCAAAAAGCCTACAATTTACATTTATTCCTAAAATCAAGAATAAGGCAAGGACTTCATTGTGGGCATACACCTGTTAATCTCAGCACTTGGGAGTTCAAGACCAACCTGAGATACATACCAAGATCCTGTCTCTAAAAAACAAAAACTAAGCCAGTATCCTTAATAGATAAACATAGATAGCACCATAATGCAATTAAAAAATAAAAAGTGTACAGAAGATTGCAAAGAAAAGTCTCAACGCAAAGAAGCAAACCTAGAATTACTGAGTTCAGCAATGTCTCAAGGTATATGATCAACATAAAAACTGAATTGTACCTTTATACACACTAGTAATAAGTCTATCGGGACTAAGATTGAAAATACTGTACAATTTACAGTTTCTTCCCAAAAGATTACTTAGGTGTAAATCTGACAAAACTTGTACAGCATTTGTAAACCAAATCTACAAAACTGGTTAAAGAAATCAAAGATCTGAACAAGTGAGAGATAGTGTGAATTCAGATACTCAATTACAGTATCAATTGTGTTCAAGTTGACATGCAGATTGAACAGAAGTCCTATCGACACCAATGAAAGATATTTAGAAGATAAAAGATCCTTCTAAAATTTGAACAGAAAGCCCAATGAATTAAAGTTGTTTTAAAATTTTTATGGAAAATAAAGTGGGAGAAATCATTACCTGATTTTGAGATTCATTATGTATCTCCAATAATCAGGAGTACATGCTAATGGCAGAGGAATTGACACAATGGAATAGAATAGAGAACCTAATGTACACTTATGCTATTGGGCTCAAGTGATTTTAGACACAGGTTCAAAAGTTATCCAATAGAAGACAATAGATTTTTCAATAAATGGTGTTAAAGAAATTGGACATTCTTGGGTTAAGTATTTTGACCTTCACACAGTTAGACGGGTTATTTCATGTAGGAAGAAGTAGTTCTGGTGTACTATTGTACAGTAGATGACTACATTTAGTCATGATTGTTGTATTTAATTAATTGTCAACTTGATTTGAAAGTACCCAGTTGAATTGAGTTCTGGGCAAGGAAGACCCACTTTAAGAATAATTATTACTGGAGATGTATAAAAGGAAAACCAGAAAGAAGAATTTCAGCTGATTTTACTTGGAAGAGCTTCATTGTAGCTGATTTTCCTTGAGGATCTTGGGCTGTTCTCTTTGAAAGACTTCCAGTCTCTGCCTTCCCCTCAGGCATCCTCTCCTGGCCTTCCTCACAAAGTCTTCAGCTTCCAGAACTGGCCTCTTGGCCTCTTGGCCTGCCAGCATATACTCTTCAACTTCTAGCAGGACCCTTCCACCTCTGAGCGCAGCCCCAGTCTTTAGTCATGGATCCTTTGACCTCCTGATGTGGACTTGTATAGGACATTGCTGTGGGCACCAGATCTTCAACTGGATCCTTTGGATTTCTAGTGCTAAGACATATGTTTTTGCACTCTTCTACATTTGACGCTGTGGGCAGTCATTGTCGACCAGTCTCGTAATATTCTGTGTCTGAATTAAATCTGACTCGGAGCATGTGCAGTCTTTTGAGGAGCTTTGCCCCTGTCCTGCAAGCTCTTGTAAAGCACTAATTAAATGATGTATTATAATTTTGTAAAACTAAGAGATTGAATGTTGTCATATAAATATGATGCTTGAGCAAATAGATATTGTCTTGGTTACTTTTCTCTCATTGCTGTGACAAAACACTTGACACTCAAAATGAAGGAAAGAAACGTTTATTTCTTACAGTTTTGGGAGTTTCAGTCCATAAACAGTTGCTCCAAGGCAGGGTGGTATGGCACTGGCACAACACTTCAAGGTAGCAGCCAGAGCAAAAGGAGAAAACAAACCTCTTTTCCTGGGTAATATTGTACACAGGCCACCCCCATTCCTTCCAGGGTAGATCTAGCACTCCCAAAATCTCCTTGCCCTCTTTTGCACAGGATGATGATATTTACAAAGTAAGAACCCTGGCTCCCTGCTGAGTCTCTCAATTAAACTAAACTGCTCAAGTTGACAGGATGTATCTACCATAACAGATATGTTTAACCTTATTTAAACATTACACAACATACTGGTATCGGTAAATCTCATAGAACTTTAGTGTTTACAAATTTTTTTAAACAAAGTATTTCAAAATGGATATTATTTGAAGCTAAAATGTAAACAATAATGATAGAAAGTTTCCAAGGCCTAAGGCTTTGTGAAGAATTACGAGACATGACAACAAAACAGGAAAATTTAAAAAATGGTAAATTTGATTTCACCAAAATTTAAAAGTTTTTTTTCTTGAAATCAACAAGCTAGAGAGAGTAAAAGTATACAAAACCACATGTTGACAAAAGAATGGATCTAAAAGAATTCTCAAATTAATCCAACAATGAAACAATTCTTTGAGAAAGAAATTCATATCCTGGGAAATTATAAAATAAGAGTATAGCCCATGACCACCATAGGAAAGCTTGTAATGATTACATGTGATTACAGAGTACATGATAAAGGAAGAAGAATTTTACTTTTCAGCACAAGCTCTTAGTCTTCTATTGAAACCGGGTATACTTCTCAAAATTGTGCAGGATTCTGCCTAGTAACCCAAAATTACCATTGGTTTAGAGAATCCAAAATAAAAATTACTATAGAAAATGTATAGCTACAAAAAAAGGGCTTTCTCTTTGCTCCCAAGTAAATAAGTGAAACATAAAGGTCAACACCAAAAAACCTTTTGAGAGAGCCTTTTATGGACCTAAATGTCTGTTTCAGAAGTTTATGACATGCATGGGTGAAAGAGCTGGTATTTTAATTCCTACACCTTCATACACATAATTACCTTTTATAGTAGCACAAAATTTATATGAATGATTTAATGTAACTTCTCTTGTCTGTTATATGCAAGTTTTACCTGTTGATTTTTAAATACAGAAACATTTTATTTTTTTCT